TTCAATACTGCTTTTGTTCCTTTCGACATTTGGCATTATCGGCTTGGCCATACTGCCATTCCTTTATCTCAGATCTTAGGCAAGGATGTTAAACCTTCTGTTAGTAGTACCAAAAATCCTTGTGTTTGTCCTTTAGCAAAGCAAAAGCGTCTCCCGTTTCCTTCTAGTGTCTCTCATGCCCTTGTTCCTTTTGAATTACTTCATATTGATATATGGGGACCATATCAGACTCCCACGGTTGATGGCTTTCGATATTTCCTTACTTGTGTCGACGACTTCTCACGTCATACTTGGGTTTATCTAATGAAAACAAAGGGTGAGGCTAGGCAAATCTTGTTAGATCTACCAGCTTTTGTTAACACTCAGTTTTCATCTAAAATCAAAACAATAAGAACAGATAATGGTCAAGAATTTAATATTCCATCTTTCTATAATACGTTTGGTATTGTACACCAAACGACTTGTGTAGCTTCTTCTCAACAAAATGGTCGTGTGGAGAGGAAACACCAACATATATTGGCTGTTGCTAGAGCCTTTATGTTTCAAGCTTCTTTACCAATCTCATTCTGGGGATTTGCAATTCTACATTCTGTTGTCTTAATTAATAGGATGCCTTCTCCACTATTAAAGAATCTCTCTCCTTATGAGCTCATATTTCACACCAAACCTGCATATAGTGATTTCAGGGTTTTTGGTTGTTTAGTTTTTGCATCAACTTTACAACACAACAGACCAAAGTTTGTCCCACGGGCTGATCCTTGTGTTTTCTTGGGATTCATTCACACGGTTAAAGGGCATAGGCTGTATAACTTGGTCTCACATAATTTTTTTAATTCAAGGGATACTGTATTTCATGAGCACGTTTTTCCTTTTGCTAATTCTCAATCCACTCTTGACTTTGATTTCTGTTTCCCTTGCATTCAAGTTCAGGATACAATAGCTCATTATACTCCTTCTGAATCACCTTCGCCATCTAACTCTACTTTTGCCTTGCCTAATTCTGCTGTGATTTTAGATACATTTGTTCCTCCACCTGAGGTACCTCTAGATCTGGTTGATGTTATTCAGGCAGTAGAACCCCCACCTTATGCGAGGCCTCCTCGTGTTAAGGTGCGTCCTAAAAAGCTAGATGATTACATATGTGCTGTAGAATGTAATGGTGTTACATTTCCTTTATCTAAGGTTATGAATTTCGATAATTTGAGCCCAGAATATAAGAAATACATCCTGGCCAGTTCTGCTATTATAGAACCTAGATCCTACAAAGAAGCCATTAAGGATCCTAGGTGGTCAGAATCTTGTAATTCTGAATTGGCTTCCTTAGATAAAACAAATACTTGTACTATTGTTGAATTACCTGATGGTAAGATTGCTATGGGAAACATGTGAGGTTTCAAAATTAAATTTCTTTCTAATGGTGACATAGAAAGGTTTAAATCTCGACTAGTAGCCAAGGGGTATACTCAAACTCCTGGTCTAGACAACTTAGAAACATTTGCACCAGTAGTCAAACAGACTACTGTTCGACTTGTATTATCATTAGCTGCAATTAACAACTGGCACTTGCATCAACTTGATATTAATACAACATTCCTTCATGGTGACCTTGATGAGGAGGTCTGCATGAAGATTCCTCCAGGTTTAGTAGTTCCTCCTGGGTTTAAAAACCCAGTTTGTCGTCTTAACAAGTCAATTTATGGTTTAAAACAAGCAAGTCGTCAATGGAATATTTTTTAACTTCTGCTGGTTACAAACAGTCCAAAGCTGATTACTCTATGTTTGTTCGTAGTCAAGACAAATCTTTTACCATTGCACTTGTATATGTTGATGACATAATATTGGCTGGAAATGATCTTCAAGCCATTACTAGTCTAAAACAACAGCTTGATCAGACCTTCACGATCAAGGATCTTGGAGAATTAAAATTTTTTCTTGGTCTTGAAGTTGCTAGGACAGATAAGGGTATTCTGTTGTATCAAAGAAAGTTTGCTTTGGATTTGTTAACAGATTATGGTTTTCTCAGTGCAGAACCTTGTGATTCTCCTTCTGTTCCAGGTACCAAACTATCTGCTACTGTTGGTAAGGTTCTTTCTGACCCTTCTGTATATAAACGATTGGTAGGAAGACTTCTTTATCTATGTAATACGCGTCCTGATCTTGCCTATTCAGTTCATCAGCTTAGTCAGTTTACTCATAGTCCTACTGATCTGCATATGCAAGCCGCTGAACGTGATTTGCGTTACATCAAAGGTACTGTAGGGCAAGGATTATTCTTTTCTGCTGATTCTGAACTTAAGTTACAGGCATTTTGTGACAGTGATTGGGCTGGTTGCCCTGACACGCGTAGATCTACAACAGGTTTTTGTGTGTTATTAGGAAATTCCTTGATTAGTTGGCGTTCTAAGAAACATAAAACTGTTTCTCGTTCTTCAGCTGAAGCTGAATACAGAGAAATGGCAAGTTTAACTTGTGAAGTGATGTGGCTGCGTTATGTTTTGAGTGATTTGCAGATTACTCTTTCTTCTCCCACTCCCATTTTTTGTGACAGTATGTCTGCCATAAAGCTTGCTGATAATCCAGTCAATCATGAGCGTACAAAACATATAGAAATTGACTGTCATGTTATTAGGGATAGGATTCTAGATAACGTCATTAAGGTTTTACATGCTTCTTCTGCTAATCAACTTGCTGACATGTTTACAAAGTCTCTTCCCGTTCATGTTTTTCAACAGTTGCAGTCCAAGCTGGGTCGTCTTGATATATACGCACCAGCTTGCGGGGGGGGGGGGGGGGGGGGGGGGGGGGGGGGAGTTGTCCAAGGAGGAAACGACGAGGACTTAGATGTAGTTTTACTTAGTTCATAGGTTTAATTGTAAATTGCATATATTGTAAGTACTGTATAGGTAATTAGTATTTAGTATATATAGATGGAGATGTAATGGATATTGTAACTTTTCTTCTTGATTAATAAAATTCTGCCTGAAGGCTTCACTAAAACGACACCAGGTCTGATCTCACTGATGCTGCTTGGGAGCTCGATGGTGTAATGTTCATGGCGAGTTAAGCCAAGTGTATCTACATCCTCTCCTGTCTTGAAGCACATTGGGATGATACCCATCCCCACCAAGTTGCTGCGGTGAATCCTCTCGAAACTCTTTGCAATTACAGCTTTCACACCCTGGAAGAGCCAAGCCCAGAGGTAAGAAATTATCATGGAAGGAAGCTCTTCTACGAAGCTAGGTGGATGTAGAGTGAACATACCAAAAGCATTGGACCCTTTGCAGCCCAATCCCGAGAACTTCCACTTCCATACTCTGCACCAGCCAAAATGATGGTGTCTTTCCCTTCACTCTTGTACCGCTGTTTAGCACAGACAATCAAAAGTTATCACATTGCATCCCAAGAGTTGGTAAAGATCGTCCCTCTTCCGCAAATTGATTCCTTTTCAACAAAATTAGTTCCATTTGATTTAATGGATTGGTTCTCCAGTTTGATCAAATAACCAAATTTTCAATCAAGTACATTCTTCAAACACCTACCTTGCAAAACCTAAATATTAAAATAATATGGAACCCACTACTTATTCTACCATTTGAAAATTTATCAAATCGAGTGACCGTCTAATCGGCGTTTACCCAAAACTACACAACTTACCCAACAAAAATTCAGATACCACACTACCAAAAAAAGTTCACAATCTAGCTAAGTTTGGACAAAATCGTTGGGTCTCTGACGATTTTACGGAAAGATATAACAAAAAGCGAACTAGCAATTTGTTTCTACCCCATCGATCTTGGCACAAAATTATATTGGACAACGATGTTGCCACAAAATCTCTCAAGGATTGTAACTTCTATTACGGGACAATTTTCAGAACCTAATGGTAATGTGGGGATGAAACATTCATCACACTCTTAGTTTGAACCTTGAAACCAATATTCATCTGTAGAAATATATGCTGAAAAGTTAAGCAAAAAAATGTCACTTTATGAAGAAGAAAAAAAATTGTTACAAAATCACTAGGGAGAGTACAAAATTATGACCGTTCAAAGTTTAGCAAATTCACAAAATGACTCGTTTCGAACAACAAACGACATTATTTGGAGACGGAGATGGACCAAACCGCTTTTTGCGTAGATCTCGAAAAGTTATCAACATAAAATAAAAAAAATTACAACGATCAAATAACCAAGCACAAAATTATAGCAATTTAAAGACCTAACCTATTAAAAATGACATCATTTTGTATTTTAGGGGGTTTGATGATAATATTTTTTTATAAAGATTAAATATATGAAAGGAAGAGAAACAACATACACATAAAGAAAAAAGGAGACCAGTGGAGAGTCAAAACAAAGTGCTCCAGGCAGGCCAAAGCCAACTAAAACCAAGGAAGGGAAAACAAAGGCAAAGAAAGCCTGCAGCAAACATCCGGGAAAACAGACAGAAAGCGGAAATCAACACAGAGCGAGAAGCAAAGCTAGCCGAGCCATCAAATTATCCTTTTAACAAAAGTTTTTTTCCGGGTTCGACATACATTATTCAAATTATCTTTCAAAAAAAGTTGTAGTTCTTGAAAAATATGGAGGAAAAAAAAAGAAAATGTTTGAATTGATTGAATAATAGGGCACAAAGTAACACTTTCCTGAAGTTCCAACATATATTATGTGAAAATCGTTGAAGCCTCCAACAATTTTGTGGCAAGATCAATGAGATCCTCATCAATTTTGCTACATTGCTTTTGGTAACACGAATTTTTGGGTAGATGGAGGAAAATTTTTAATAGCATTGCATTTGACGAAACATTTTTAGTTGTGTAGTTTGGGGAAAAAAATCATATTTTCATAACTCTTTCCAAAGCGATTCCACTTTTACCATTAGCTTCAATTGGCAACTTGTAGGGCAAGGTTTTAAGAAATTCTTACTTACCATGGCAGCATCAAAGACGGGGAGCTTCTGACCCGAGGGAATATGGATGATGTTAGGACAAACTTGTCCGGCTAGGAACTTGTTGACGATGCGAATATTGGCGAACCACGTCGGCTGCCGTAGGAATTGAAGTCTCTTCGATCGAACCCACGCTCCATAAGGTATGCAGCTGCAGGGCTGTCTTTGTGAATGCTACCGGCAGGAGAGATGTGATCTGTGGTAATGCTATCTCCAAAATTGAGCAGACAGTAAGCATCTCTCACACAGTACAGCCTGCAACACCCAATGCAAAGCGTCACTCAAATTGATTATTATGCACACTTGCATGCTTACATCTGAGCCGTTGATTTGATTTTAAGAGGGGGCATCATCTAAGAAGCGAGAGCAAATGTCTTTTTATTTTTCCTTCTTTTTTACCGCTTTTTATCATCTTTGGTTTAACTTAAATTTCAAATTTTTTTCCACATATATATTCAATATATTTCGAGAAATATTTTTCATACCACTCGTGACCACTCTGTACCACCTTCGTTTTTTCTCAAATTTTTTAAAATTTTGTCCAGAAAGAACGAGTTCATCGTGAACTATTGGATGTACAAATTTTCAGGGAGAAAAATTCAAAGACCAAAATATACCACATTTCTACACTATGGCATACTTTCAAAACACATTATATAATTTTATGTACTAGCAAGCATTACCATCATGATAAGTGTAGAATTATGCATAACAAAGTAGGCATTTGATCAGCTCCCCCAAACATCTCCCTCAATATGAAGCTCTTGCAAAAAGTTCTCACAATACGACACTAAACCTACGACTTCATGATTTTATTTTAGTTTTAAGATATATTAGTCTCTCATTTAACCATGTTAATTAATGTGAATAAATTCAACAAAACCCCTAACAATTCTGTTTCAAACTCAAACTGTACTTCTTTAAAAGTCAAACTAAAAGGTTCGTTTCAAACCCCTAACTCGGCCCAAACAGAGCCATAGGGAAGGATTCACTCACATCGGCAACTTCCTCCGTGGATGGCCAAATGTCTCTGAAAAAGATCTCCTTCCCATCCTTTCCTACGCCAATTGGTTCGGTTTCAAAGTCAATGTCAACCTGGAGTTTTCAATGTGCAAATGAAGCAAACAGAAAATAATGATAGAATCAGAGAAAAGTAACACCCCACCCTCATTCCCACCCTCGACGACTTACTGTTCCAGCAAGGCATATGCAACCACAAGCGGAGGGGAAGCCAAATAATTTGCCCTCGTCAATGGATGCACCCTACCCTCGAAATTCCTGTTCCCGGATAACACTGCAGCAGCCACTAAATCTGGAAATACAATGGTTTAGATGAAATGAGGTTCTTAGCAGACATCAATCAGTATGGGGCTTTATATGAAGAAAGTACACATATACCGTTTTCTGTAATAGCTGCTGCTACTGCTTCATCAATATCTCCCGAGTTGCCAATGCAAGTTGTGCATCCATACCCAACAATGTGAAACCCAAGCTGATTCAAATACTTCTGCAAGCCACTGTAAAAGATACAAAGCAAATTAAGAAAGGGGTTATCACTGTAGCAACAAAGCAAGCTCCAAAATTGTTCGCAAAATCACCTCTTTTGTAGGTATTTTGTGACAACACCAGATCCTGGAGCTAGACTTGTCCTAATCCATGGTTTAACCTCCAAGCCTAGTTCACAAGCTTTCTTTGCAACCAGTGCAGCTCCAAGCATTACACTAGGGTTTGAGGTATTTGTGCAACTTGTAATAGCTGCTATGACAACATCCCCGTGTCTAAGTTGTGCACGAGTCCCAAGATAATCAAACTCTGCAACCAGTGGCGGACCCATAAATTTTTTATAGGGTTGTCATCTTTTAAAAAATAAATTAAATAAAAATAAAAATTATTAATAAAAATAAAATTGTAAATATGAAAATACCTTACTCGTACAGGTTAAAAAAGTCCATGATGTGTTTTCATATTCGAAAATAATTGTAGAATACATTTGGTGTCTATAGTGTTTAAAAAATTGTCTCTATATACACTACTAGACAATCATTCACGAACTTATCGTATATTCGATTTGTAAACTTGTTCTTGATGCATTGGCGGATCCAGGGGCTGGCCACCCCAGGCCCCGGCCCAGCCCTCCTCTGAATTCGGTATTAGTATAGTCCTTATAAAATTTTGATTTTAGACATTCGGTTTAGTGTTATTTTATAATAAGATTGTTTATAACTAGAAAAATGATTCAGATGAACATATTTAGAAATTCTTGCCCCAAAGATTGTGCGTCTAAAAAAACAATGAAACTTAAAAGTCTAAAACGTAATAGACTAAAAGAAATATGAGGTTTGTTCCCTTGAAAATTTACTGTGCAGCTGGTGGATATAGGGATGGACACACAATGCAAATTGATTAGTCGATTGATTTGTCTAGTGTTGACGCTGCTCGTTTCAACAGCTACTACGAAGGGAACCTTTTCAACAATGAAACATGTGAAAAATGATTTGCGCAAAAAATAAGCGATGAATTTCTTGCCGATTGCTCAAGTATTTTTATTTGAAACAGTGTATACTATTGGTATAGATATGGACTCCATTATTGATGCATTCGCTAAATTAAAATATCGTCGTGTACAATTGACATTGTAAAAACAAAACTATAATCATTAGATTTGTTTTACGGTTCTAATTTTCTAATAAAATGTGGCCCAGTGCTCTTTTGTGTTCTGGATCTGCCGCAGTCTTGATGTAACTCAAAGCTGAAAGACTCTTTCAACACTTGTCGTACAATCATAAAATCAATACAAATTAAGGGTAGTTTGAAATTAGTTTAATTGTTAGGTTTTTAAAATAATTAGAGATAGGGAATGTCATTTTACTATTACACATTGTTCAAAATCGAACAACATATGAGTTTAGCTCAACGGAAATTAAGTTTATTAATAATAATAGTGTTCTAGATTTGAATTATCCAACCTACCACTTATATTCCTATACACAAATGACAGTAGGATAATCATTTTTTCAAATTTAAAGGGTGTCCCTCACTATCAATTATATTTTTTTTGTCCATACGTAAATTACCACCGGGGTTGGATAATCGTTTTCCCAAAATTTAGGGGTGTCCAGGGACACCCCTAAACCTCCCTGGGTCCACCCCTGACTACCGAGGGTTGGATAATCGTTTTCCCAAATTTTAGAGGTGTCCCGGGACACCCCTAAAGACCCATGTATCCGCCACTGTCTGCAACCTTGCTCTGAGCTTCCTTTGGCACTGCAAAACCCTGAATTCAAGGGGAAAAAAGTTAGAAGGGATAATTGCAGAGAGGCAAAGAAGCTTGGGATTGGGGAACTATGCAGATAAAAAATTTCACCTTAAAACCCACCCTAGTGTCCAAGCATGAATGCCAATCATATTTCATTTCTTTCAAAGGAACACGATCATGTGGCCTGCAAGGTATTTCATTCTCAGCTATGGACTGTACACGTAATGCAAATAAGAAAATTCTTATAATTGTGGCGACACATTTATATTGGTTACCTCTTCGGCCCTGATACACAGGGTTCTACTTCCTCGAGCTGCAATTATAGATAAGCGGAATAAACTCTATCACAATCAATATCACAGTCAACAACCAAATCATTGCATATGGTTAACAGTCAACCAAATATATTAGAATACATACCTCAGTGTAGTCAACAAACATTTTATTGGCCCTTAAGTACGACTCGATCATAGATACCTGCAAATTGAATCTACAAATTGGCAAAGAGCACATACGAAAAACTGAGTAAAAGTACACATCTGAACAACTCACAGTTTCATCACTTCTCACGGTCAGTCTTAGGTATTGTAGTGTGACATGATCCACAGGAAAGAATCCCATGGTGGCACCATACTCAGGAGACATGTTGGCAATGGTTGCACGGTCAGCTAATGACAATTCCCTCATGCCTTCACCTAAAACACACGGGCAGAAATGGGTACAGGAAATCAGAGCGTCCTTTTTAACCTTGAAGATAATAGCAAAGGAAAATGATGAGCTATACTGGACTCAATGGATATATACCATAGAACTCAACAAACTTGCCAACAACCCCATGCTTCCTTAGAATCTGAGTCACTGTGAAAACCAAGTTAGTAGCTGTGACACCATTTCTTAGCTTTCCTGACAGCTTAAATCCAACAACACCAGGAAGAACCATGCTCATGGGCTGCAGACAGATATAAAAATGGTACCTTGTCAAATCATTGACAGAACAAGCGAATTTTCTATGAACACATTCAACTGAGATAAGCAATAAGAAGTTATTGAATATTAAACTCATATCCAAGAACCTAACTAACAATATTGAACAGTGCAGGGGTAGATGTAACAAAGAAAATGTACCTGGCCAAGCATTGTGGCTTCAGCTTCAATCCCACCAACTCCCCAACCAGCAACAACCAGACCATTGACACGCCAAAACACAACACCAAACTGCGACCAAGTGTAATCGCAGTCTGGGAATGCAGTAAAGTGGCAAGTTCTAAATATCAACCCGGGGTCTAGATCTACTGCCTACTCCGTGATTATCTATTATCTAGCAAACTAAGGCCCTGTTCACTTCCATTTTTGTTTCCTGTTTTCTGTTTTCATGTGATAAATTTGGCAACCGAAATGAGAAAACTTGTTTACTTTTCATTCTGTTTTCTATTCGTTTCCAACAATGAAAACAGAAAGTGGCAACTTCCTGCTATTTTCGGAAACGACAAAATGTTGTTTTCACCTGTTTTCAACATCTGTTTTCTCAAAAACAGGAAAGAGAAATGAAAGTAAACAGACCCTAAGTTGATTGATTTTTGGTCTTAACTGAACGCAGAAAGGAAGTAGGAATTGGTTCGGTTTTCTCAAGCAAAGGAAGAGTCACTCGGGAATGAGTCCCCGTAGCTCCTTAGTTAGGTCTCAGTTGTAATTACCTGGGTTTATTTACTGTTGAGTAGACTGCGGAAGATCCGACTGTAGCTTGGAATCTCTAAAGCTGACCAAGCCCTCTCAGTCTAACTACCCGGCAGACGACTAGTCTTCACCGGGATAGAAAGCTGAAGCAATAAGCACAGAACTCCACTACTGGAATTGGATTCCAGTACAAAGCAGTAGATTGACTAACTCTCGTATAGCCAATCTACTACTACCGAATGAAGAAGCTCTAACAACCTAATCAGATTCTATCTATCTCAGGTTGCAGCAAAAATCAAGAAAAGCTGATCAGACTTCAATCAATTCAATGAAACATGCATCATTCGATTAAAACCAAACAGTATAATCATCCCAAGTCATTACAATCAAATCCCTAACACATGGAACTAGGGTTCTTCATACCCAAGTGAGAGAAGGGTTCTACTCCATAGAGAGAGAGAGAGGAAAACAGAAATCAGAGTAGTCATACTCATAAAGATGAGAAAAATCTGCTCTGGAATGTCAATCTTCACTCCTGGGGACGCAATCTGGGCTTCAATGGTGAGAAATCCACTCCAAATAGCTCCTAGGGTTTGTTCTCTCTCTAAAACTCTGTTTTTGCTCTCAAAAGTCGATCCTCTCACTTGTGGCTCGAAATTGGGTAAAAACCTGAATTCCTGACTCACACAGGCAGGCCACACGGCCGTGTGGATTACCCAGATGCCTGTGTGAGAGACAAAACACTGAGTTTGGATTAATTGGTCTTCAGGCTACCTACACGGCCAGGGACACGCGGCCGTGTGGTATCTCCAGTCTGCTCGTGTGAAGGCTCGCACAATCCCACACGGCCACATTGGTTCCCTACACGGCCGTGTGGGTTTTATGGGTGCCCATGTGGCTTCCTCAATGACTCGCCACACGTCCGATCTTCGTCCAATCAACCCCGAACTCGCTCCCAAACCTTCATTCACGTACTAGGACCTGAAATATCACAAACAAGCACAACCTACCGTGAAATCGGCTTAAAACACGAGAATCAACATCTCAAACGGCTCAAGAATAGGGGTAAAAACATGTGTGATTAACGGTTTATCAAACTCCCCCACACTTAACCGTTTGCTTGTCCCCAAGCAAACCAAGTCAGACACAAGGTAAGCTCACATATTTCAATCATACCAACATTGGGGACAAATCATATAGGCACAAAAACACGTGAATCATACTAGCTTTCAAACATCAACACATGAACAACTTCAATAGCAACCTGGACAACCACCACAAAAGACATTTGAGTGCAGCAAAATTGAGTAAAAGACGAAGTCTCCCTTCTGTTCATCAACCAACATAGACTTGACTCAACCACTTACTCAAGACAGTCACCTCATGCATAAAACTCAAGACATCAGAATCAAGACCGAGCCATCTAGGTCCTCACCGGGGTGAAGAGTGTAAAGAACAAGGAAATGAATCACTCACTCTCGACCAGTGGGGTCAGGACAATTTGATGCAAAAAATGCGCATACTTATTCTCTCAATTCCTAACATCTCTTCACCATGACGGCAACCTCTAAGTGTTAGAGCTCACAAAAATGGGTGTCATCACTAACTAATCCGGAGGTCTTAGACACAGGTTCAAATGACTGGCTAGGGTCTTGGACATGGGGAAAAGGCCTTTTAGGTTATGGAAGTATTCATAGCACAAGGTTCCACATTTCCAAACCCAACACATTCACAGTCAATCAAACCAATAACTTTCTTTCTGCTATTCTGCATTACTCACATTTTCTAGAGCACAAGAGCGAAGGTTGTCACATAAATGCTAGTATTTCCAAGCCAGACTGCTAAGAAACACTACTTAATGGGCACTATTTAGATTTTTTGTGGTGGCTCTCTTTTGCTTTCATTTTTTTCTTTGTTTTTCTTTCCTTTTTTTCATTTCTTAAGAGAACCACCACCTCTGCACATTTTTTAAACACCTGCCCAAAGGGGTGGATGAAGATGGAGTGGAGATGGGTAATAAGGGGAAAGTGAAACATGGGTTTTACGAACACAAAGAACCAACAACTGCGGCGATGTAAAAGGGACGGGGGGACAAGAAACATCGGCAGCGACGCGACAGCAAATGGAGGATCAAAACTGATTTAGTGAGATATAAGAGGGAGGGAGAGAGAGGCTTGGAGTGATTTGCAGAGACTCCCCGTCACCCGTGAATTCATTTCCCACCAATTTTGTTTCTTTTAATTGTGTCTGGGTTTTGGTTTTGGAGATTTACAGGCACTTACAAGCTTGACAGCATGTTCAAAGCTTCCAAAATTGAGAGCTGAAAAATGAAACCCATTCCATGAACCAAACACGCCATAGTAGGCCAGCTTCTGCAGAAGTGAAAGAAATGAAGGAAGAAAGGAATCGACACTTAAAGCACAAAAATGCAATTGTTAATTGGGGAAGAAGGGGTGGAATTAGGTTTGGTTGCAGAAGGGGTTTGGGAAATGGTATTTCTCAATTGGGGTTTTTATTTATTATTTTATCATTTAATATTATTATTAGAAAAGAAAATTAATACAAAAAAATTATTCATGCTCGCTGACGTGGCAAATGAGTTGGCCATTGACCAACGGTCAATGGAGTTGACCGTCAAATTTGACGTTCAAACCCGACTCTGGGCCAAATTAGGAAGTATGAAACATAGTTCAGGCTATGATAGCAATTTTGAAAACCACGGGCCAAAGTAGAAAGTTTGTGTATAGTTCGGGCCAAACAAAGGTATTAACCCTTTATTTATTTAGATGTTTAAATCATTTTGGATCTTCTAAATATTTCATCTTCTTGATTCATAACAAAGTTTGTAGTATGTATATATTGAAAATTTTCAATATTTAGCACACGCACTTGTGATGCTTCGGTATTCTAATCATAAATTATGTCGTTGTCACATCCCATTTAGAACACATGCAAAAAAATGTCAACCAAAATACTAATATTTAGCGTACGCCAACCTGAACCCCCCCCCCCCCCCCCCACAAACATATATATAGTTCAAGCTAGCGTGAGTCAGGAGTACGCTAGCTCATGCGTTCACACTACCATACGACCATTGAGTTTTACTATTTAGACCCCAAATTAACAAGAGTTTTTTCGGGGCAATGATACGATACTCTAACCTCTAATAGGTGAACTCCAGTCTCTAATTCTCTAACCTCTAATTTATGCACATACTTCGTCATACCTATCTTCTATCGTATCTTGAGTAAAATAATAAGTATAGTATACCTTGATATTATATATATGTATATATGTGTGTGTAGTAGACTCAAAGTTATCCAGATACTTTGTCTGAGCTATCTTATCTCGCATAATACTCTTATTAAAAGTGATACTTGCCTACCCCCACCCCGGGATAGAGATCCTGTTTTTACCTCCATAACGTCAGACAACCATTGAGGTTGTCTATCATTCGATATGTAATATATAAAGAGGCAAATCTTAAGATCCTTCTATTTATTTCTTATCCTCTCCCGCTGCCCTCTTTATGGAGAATAAAAGGGTAGGGATGACAGGATCATAGCTAGATATGGTTTTATTCTGTTCATCGTATCGAATGTTATGTTCTTTTTTGCTTTTTTTGGTTACTTTTCATTCTTCTTTGGCACCTATGGTTGTGATAAGAGGTATTTAGCCCCCGAAAGGGATTGGGATTTTAGGTCCTTTGGTAATCCAATACACATTCATTATCCTCGAGTTTGGACGAACCCTCGACCAATGTTGTAAAGATTAGGACTTTTTAGTAAGAAATTCTTAGTAAAGATACTTCATTATTGGATCAATTTATTCATCCATACTGAAACTTGACAAACACTATAGCCCTCATGATGATTAATTCTCTAATCTCGATTCATTTCTATTTTGGATGTTATTTATTTTATCAAAACACTTAAATTTAGTATATTATACAATATGTATCAATTGTTAATTCTGAAGTTTATACTAAACCTCAACCCGTGGTCATTGTTTATATGTTGGCTTAGAATCTCAATCTAAAACAGTCACACACACTATCAGAATTTTGGTCTTAACATGGTCGTTGAATGTGTAATTTCAAAGGTTTATCACTTATATATTAATAATTGATAAAGAGTGTCTACAATACACACATATTGCAAGTGCGTCTAAAATGTCTTATCATTTGAACAATATCGGTGGATTTCATTTGATTATTTGCAATAACTTATTATTTTATACAACATATATCAATTCATGTTTCTCGAGTTTGGAAGATCTGGAAACCAGTTTTGAGAGTTGAGATTATTGAATAAAGATACTTGATTGCTGGATAAATATGTTTATCCCAATTGAATATCTTACTAAAAATTGCCAACCATTATGTGGCAAATGCCTAGGTTAGTAGTTGATGAAACGTGATGTTTATCATAGATTCTCAACAAAGATTTCTCTAACATTCACATATGTTATTTTTCTCAAGGAATCTTGTATCTCATCCTAAGATATGAAGTCAAAGTGCGTCAACAATCATACTTAAGTCATTTTGAAAATTTTATTTATAATCGTCAATGATAACTCCAATTCTGAAAGAGAATTTCTTAGCATACGACTTAGGACCTCAATAGAGCTGCTCAATCAACATGATATAGAGCAAATATTATTACTGTGAACCTAGAACACATTATCAAATTATTGCACATGCGATTCCTCTTCATTTGAGGAGTTTAAGGTAGAACATCTGAATGAATAAGAAGTCTTTTTTAAATAAATAACTGTAAATACTCGATCAAGATTATACTCTGATATTTTGCTAAACAATACTTGTTTTATTTTATAGACATAT